TAGTCACAAAATGTATCAAATGCATTCTGAAATCACTCTCGGATGGGTTGGCTTTCTTCAGGAAGATTCATGAGCTTAGTTAGTTTGGTAAACTAAAATAAGCGCATGCCCTCTAACCTATTACCTATAGATTAAAGATCTCAATTATTGGAATCACTAACTATTGTAAGATGAAACTCCAGTATTGGCATGTCAATAATGAACCTTACCAGGTAATAAAAATCAAGGAATAGGAATTAGCATAATCATACAACAAATCACTGAAGGAGCAAAGTTCAGTGAAGAAAGTTCAAAACTTCCAATCTCCTTTTTCTCATATATACCAAACAACAATGCAAAAGATTCAAACTTCCTTTTCCTCTCTCTCTCAACAATCAACAGCCAAACTAAAAATAACAACAACAAAAAAAAAAAAACAGAGAGAAAATCCAAAAAAACAGAGATCAAAGTACTAACCAGCCGAGATATAGCAATCTGCAAGTAAGAATAAAACACAATCAAAAATCAAACAAAAAATTGAAAAAGAACAAAATAAAAATCACAAAAATAAAAAATTATGACGAACCGTCATTTTGTGTCAACCCAATTAATGTTAACATTAACTAAGAGTATACAAATCTATTTTTATGTTTCAATTAAAGAGAGTCTCAACCTATTTTACTAAGATGAAATAAAAATGATTCTTAACATGAAATCTATTTTTATGATTGTTTACATGAAATGGGTGTTGAAAGCTCAACCCATTTGATAGAGAGAGAAATGGGTGTTGAAATCCTATTTAACATTAACTCATTTAATTGAAAAAATTTGTTTTAGAAAAAAACAATGGGTGAAGTCAGGGAAGAGCAAAATAAATCTGAGTGCCTTACCTCAAACTGAAGCCAGGGAAAAGCAAAACAATGGGTGAAGCCAGGGCAAAGCTCTCTCAAAGTGAAGGTATAATCGTGGTATAAAGATTGAAAAGTTGGATGGGTGGGGATGACGGGATGAAGAAAAAAAAAATTAAAAAAAAAACAGAGGTAAAAAAATGAATGGAAAAACAAAAAGAATGTGAGGAGCTTTCTTCAAAGCTTTGGTCTTCCTTCTTCGGAGCTTGTTCCTTCTTCAAAGCCTTCTTCTTCAGAGATTTGTTCATACATACATACATATGATGTGAAGTGCAGTGCAGTGGTTGGTAAGAGTTGATTGTTAAACAAATCTAGGCCATTGAATTATTTCTTTGATAAATCTAAATCATTGAATCTCTTTTGAATCTCAGCCGTTGTTTTTAAATTAGACAAATCTAGACCATTGAAGATAGTTTGTGAGAGAGATATTTTTGAAAATAAATCTGAACCATTGCTTTTAAATTAGACAGATCTGAACCATTAATTTGAAAAACATTTTCAAATGAAGCCTTCCATTGTTATATAGATATTTTCAACATGCGGTTTCAAAATCAAATTATATGTTGAAAATGTAATTTCAATTTAAAATTTTATTTTCAAAATACGATTTTAAAAAGTAAGTTAGCTTCTCAAATAATTTAAAAAATGAGTTAATTCTCTAAATTTTTTTTATAGAATATTTAAAAAAAAAACTCTTGGTCTTGGAGTACAAATATCGTGTTTTTGGAAGTTATGTATATATTTTATCCCGTGTTATATATAGCCTCCGTTTAGGAAGTGGGTTGATTTTTTGGTTTTTTGACTTTTTTGGCTATTTGAGCCTGGGCTCAAAAGCTTGGTTTGGAAAGGGCTTTTTGGGTTTTTGGGTTTTTTTACTTTTTTTGCGAGACGGTTTCAAAATCAAATTATATGTTGAAAATGTAATTTCAATTTAAATTTTATTTTCAAAATACGATTTTAAAAAGTAAGTTAGCTTCTCAAATAATTTAAAAAATGAGTTAATTCTCTAAATTTTTTTTATAGAATATTTAAAAAAAAAACTCTTGGTCTTGGAGTACAAATATCGTGTTTTTGGAAGTTATGTATATATTTTATCCCGTGTTATATATAGCCTCCGTTTAGGAAGTGGGTTGATTTTTTGGTTTTTTGACTTTTTTGGCTATTTGAGCCTGGGCTCAAAAGCTTGGTTTGGAAAGGGCTTTTTGGGTTTTTGGGTTTTTTTCTTTTTTTTGTGAGAGAGAAGTGTAATGATTATGGGTTGGATGTGATGTTTTGTTTGTTGTGGCTCAAATAGCCTATTCTGTCTTTTGTGACTCAAAGAGCCAAAAGAGCCCAAATGAGCTCTTCCCAAACGACACCATAGAATTAATTTAATAATACATAAATTTTTTAATAATGTATTAATTTTTAAGTTAATTTGTAAAATTATAATTATAATACACAGAGATCATCTTTTTAAATTTTATAAGTGAAGATAATATTTCAAAGTAAATATTCTTAAAATATTATAATCATCTAATTGAGTTATTTTTCTTAAAATAATAAATTTAATCTCTAACTAATGAAGTAATCTATGTTAACAATAAATAAGATGTTTTCTCAATGAACCTAATATCTAAAACATATATATGCTAAAAAAACTAATAATAAACTAAATGTCATAAATCTTGATAAATTAAAACTCAATAGATGTTGTTCATCATGTTCAAATGTTCCAAAAAGTCCCTGTAAAATAAAAAAAGTGTTAACATTTTTTTGTTATCATTTTTTATAGACAAACAATTTTTTTTAAAAAAATAGATATATTATCTTATAAGGGGTGTTGATTTAAGGGGAATTTTTTTTCAGGTCCCTAGTATTAAGACTTTACAGCATAAAGGACACTCAATATTTTCATAATGTCTAAGGTCCCTCAAGTTGATCCAGAGAAAATTGGTCCAGAGAAAATTCCTCAATATTTTCATAATTTCTTCACCTGTTTCAATTTGCAGCGTTACCACCATGGGTTTGTTTACATGGTCTAGAGAAATTCTTTGGTTTAGAATGAATTTTCTTTGGTCCGAACTGAATTTTCTCTGGACTTTCTCTGGGTTGGTCCAGAGAATTTCTTTGGTTTGGTTGGTCTGAATTTTCTCTGGGTTGTTGGACTGAAATTTGAGAAGCTGATGCATACTTACCTTGATTGAATCACCCATGAGATTTGTGATGATTTGCCAAAATCTACCTGGATCTCCATAATACTGAAATTCTTGAATCGGGAAAATTTAGTTTAAAAACCAAAGAATTTCTTTAGACCAACACAGAGAAAATTCAGTTTAAAAACCAGAGAATTTATCTGGTTTCAACCCAGAGAAAATTCGGTTAAAAAACCAGAGAATTTCTCTGGTTTCAATCCAGAGAAAATTCAGTTCAGGTGAATGGCCATGGCTATGGGAGTTTCCCTATCTTGAAGTTAATGTGAAAATCCAGCGAATTCTCCACTATACATGAACACCAATAGTATTGCTTATACTAGTTGTATTAATAAAACAGTCAAGTCTTCTTCACAAACCCATTATTCTTGCAACTTTGCACAACTTGTGGATAAAGATTTGCCATCATCTTCATTATCATCAAAATGAGTGTCAGCAATGGTAGTAGCCACAATCATTGGTTCTGAATGAATGGTTTCTGTTACCACATCATCTAGATGCACATGAACCTCAGGATCTGATGGATGATCTGGAGAATTTTGGAAATCAGATGGTGATTTAAGGTCAGCATCGTCCCTTCCAACCATACCATTATTAGAGGAAAATCCACAGAATTCCTCGCCATATGCCACATTAAAATCCCTATAAATATTTCTCTCTCTAGAATATGAAAAACTAACTTCTGAATCTGGTTCAAGTGGCGGACCATTTTTTATTATTTCTGGGAACTGCTGCTTTGCAAAGTCACCAGCCTGTGGACTATTATCTACTACTGAAGTTGAGCTAATAGCTATCTCCCCAAACAATGGAGAACCATCCACTCCAGAAACTATGTCATCGTACTCATAGTCCATGGCTGCCACTCTAGGGGCCGTCGTCATCACCGAAGACCAAGCCACCTTGCACACCATCGGCGGTCATAGCTTCGGTTACCATTAACGTCGTGACAGATTTGGCTACCATTGGTTCATGCCGATACCATCTCCACCTCATCTTGGTGCTTCACTTCAGACTATCACTCGTCGGAGTCGGATCCATCGATGGCTATTTCCATAGGCGTAGCAGCAGAAGAGGAAGACACAACGTTATTGTTGCTGGGGCTAGGCCTTATCTAATGAAGAATCAACAACGCGAAGTCGAAGAGAGAGAGAGAGAAATTGTGGGCAAAGAGTCAAATTTCTCTGATATATGTTTAGGGACCTTAGACATCAAAAAATAATTTTGTGGATCTCTTCCATTACGAAAAGTGGGGGAGGGACCCTAGACTAATTTTCCCTTGATTTAATTGTCCTCACTTTTGTGTTGTTATTTCACTTCATGCTCTTCACAACCATTATTTTGTTGTTGCTACTGTTGTTCCACTTTAATATTTTCATTACCAATGCGTTGCTCCACTTCATCCAATACTTGTAAACAATTCATATCATTTTCAATTTCCTCCAACATAACTATCAATGATCGCATGCCTTGGAAAGTCTTTTTTAATTTTTATTTTATTTTATGAATTTCTTGAATAGGCCATGAGGTTGGAAGTGTGTTAACTATGACATGAACTAATATTGCAATGTGGGGTTGGAAACCTTTTTTTCCTAAATTTATAAAACACTTGTTTTTTATGTAACATATGCTCTCGTATAGTTAAATTTGGAGTCATCCGCTCTTACTCAAGTTCAATCCATAGAGGATGAACTTCACGCTTCTCCTCTATTAAAGTATCCATTAAGTCTTAGGTATCTTTGATTTCAACTTTTGAAAAATTGTTTCCTTTATTTTATTCCAGTTTGATGGCAAAAGGTCTAATATTGTTTCCATCAATTTTTTTCCATTTATTTTTTTCCTAATTTTTGCATTGCCTGACATATTTTGATTTTCCAATCAACAATTTTTTTTACTGGTAAACCCTCTTTAAGCACGACATGTCTTAATATTTATTTATGAAATCAAGATTGGTGTCATCGATTAACTTGTGCAAATCGCTTTCTCCATTTTTTATAACAAATTTTTCTGGTATCTGTATCCAATTAGGTTCATAGCCTTTACTAAATGAGCTTCTCATTGTTGTCCCTTCATCAACCAATTTAATGCACTCTGCAAAGTCACATAATTCATGACACGTATGATTAGAAATATCTTGTGCTATAACACACATATTTCTGGTAAGATGCAAAACTTGACAATGCTCCCAAATTGTTGACTTAGGTGATGAAGCTTCCACTGTTTGTTCATGCCCATCTTCAGGTACAACAGGCAATATCTGTCCAAAGTCACCACCAAGCACAAATAGTTTTCCACCAAAAACCCTATCCTCTGAACAATGTTCTGCATTTTTCAATATGTCCCTAAATGTATGATCAATAGCTTCAAAAGCATGACGACTAACCATTGGTGCTTTATGTCATATAATTAGTGATGCCTCTTGAATTAATCTCGCCAAATTTGTCCCTTGATTTACTGAACAACATGATGAGTTATCAGGGTCAAGTGGAATCTTGAAACGAGAATAAGTAGTTTGTTTCCCGGGTAAGAGCAAAGTTGCAATACCTAATGATGCAGCAGAAAGAATGATCTTCTTATTGGATCAAAATTTTTCATTTAAAGTGTTCCATAAATACGTATTTCTAGTTCCTCCACTACCATACACAAAAAATAAGCCCCCATGATAAGTGAAATAAACTTCCATTATGGTGTTAAACACTTTCAATCGGTCATCATTCAATCCCATGTACAAAGATTCAAAATATTGCATTTCTGAAATGCTATCGTAGTTCAGTTCCTCTCTTATGAGCCTATTAGTAACCATTTGACCTAATCGAAATGATGGTAGTCACATCGGAGGAAACTCTTTAAGAGACCTTCCATTCTGATTTAGTATGTGCTCAATTTCAAGCAATCCTAAAAATTTCAATTCACATTCTTCGAGATGTATATTGCCATTCTGAATTTGCTTTTGTACCCTATTTTGTAAATCATCAGTAAGGTCAAACCAATGATTCTCCCACAATTCATATGCATTTGTAAACCTCGGAAAACATTAGCATTAAGCAAAGCATATTTTGCAGTTGAGCACCCGATGCCCATGTTGAGGCTTCTGTTAAAGCTGTGTCCCACTCATTATCATCGTCAAGTAAGCCAAGTGCAAGGCATGCAGATTGAAATGTTGGGTGCACAATGCCATTAACGGTTTTAATATCTTCTTAACATTTTGCACCTCTAACCTTGGTAAGCAACATACGTAAATAATATCATTCACCAGAATTAGGATGTGCATAATACAATCTACCTATGCATATTTGTTGTTGCCTTGTTTTCTACTTCTTCTGTTTCTGGTTCCAAACCCATGAGCTAGGAAACTTATCATATGTTAATGCATTAGCCTCTACATGATCTCTGTTTGCTTGAAACCACCTTGTAAACATTGTCTCGTGAACCCCCGCCTGATTAATAATTGACGAAATGTTATCTGTGTCTCTAAATAGAATAGATTGTTCTCCAGGTAGATGGTGTTGTAACCCTTCAACTGAAGGGTATTGCTTTTGCAATTCAAACTCAAATATATGCCATCAACATTAGGGATGGCAATCTGAACCCGGCCCGACGGTGACCCGATCCCCCGACCCCGAATTGAACGGTTATTCCCCGAAAAATATCCCCCACGAGCCGGGGATGGTATTCAAAAAAAAATCCCCAATGATGTTCAGGCCGGGGACGGGGATACATGTCCCAGCCCTGGACCCGGCCCGGCCCCGTCCCCGACCCCTGCCTCGAGGTAAGATTACTCTTATGCCCTCCTACATATATATGTGTGTGTAGGGTTTGGTTGATATACACTGCTCCTTCTCTCTCATTGTCACACAACACAACGCTGCTCTCTCTCTCTCTCTCTCTCTCTTTCACACAACGACGGCCACTGCTCGTCTCTCACTCTCACTCTCACTCTCACTCTCACACAACGACGGCCACCGCTCATCCTTTACCACTGCTGATCCTTCCTCACCGCCGCTCATCTCTCACCATCGATCCTCCCTCACTGCCGCTAATCGATCTTGGGATTTCGATCTAGGGATTTCAAGGTTATCTCTCTCTTTTTCTCGCGTTAAACTAATCGATCTAGGGATTTCGATCTAGGGTTGACATACATACATATATGTATATATATAAATATAAGTGTATATATATTTATATATATATATATCTGTTTCAACCTTTTTTTTTCTTTTTTCTTTTTCCTCTCTAAATTTACATATCTGAGTTTATGGAATGATGAAGTGATTTTGTTTTATTATTATTATTTTTTGGCAGATCTGTTTTCAGCCCTCTACTCTGCAATTTCAAATCTACGTTCTCCTCTTCAATTTCTGATTTTTTTTTTTAGAGTTGTTAATGATGATTGTTGTTGAAAACAGATTAAACTGTTGATGATTGTTGTTGCAAAATAGATTAAATTGTTGTTCTTGTGTTGTGTGTTGAACCAAAAAAAAAAAATGGTCGGGGATATTTCGGGGTCGGGAAAACCTGATCCGCGGGGGCGGGGGGAGTGATGGGTTCCCCGCCGGGGATCGGGGGCGGGGACGGGGATTTTTTCACCTTCGGGGATCGGGGACGGGGAGTGCGATCCCCGGCTCGGCCTGTTGCCATTCCTAATCAACATTCAATTGCAGAGATATATCGACAATCTAAGTATTGTTTTACCTCATCAGCCTCTCTACACCGACTTTGTCCATCAATGTTAAGTCGATTAACATTATCTTCAATTACAATTGTTGCATGATTACGACCTTTATGTATGTACTTATATAAATACTTGATCAATTTGTTGTGTGCACAATGCTCAATATCGATAAGGGCATCATACAGTACAATAAGATCACGGTTGTATGGAATAACCCATATGTTGTCAATTTTAAATCCATTAACCATGTATTTTTTCTTTGTATCCCTTCACCTATAGATGGCAAATCCATTTTCATCAATACTCGTTTCACTGCAAAATTCTTCGGATAATGTTTTGAACATTTTCCATTCATTATACATGGGGCATTAGGGTTAGCACTGCCACAAGGACCATGCATCATGCACCTCATTACTGTTTGAAATGCTAATGGATCTTCATCCATATCAGGAATTTTAGAACAAATTATATCATCAATTTCTTCTGGTGATTTTATCTGGTCATCTGCTGATAATGTCAGATAATGTGTAAATGCGGTAATCTTCGCTTTTGAAATTTGATGACGTGAATATATAATCAAGAAAAAATAATATTATTTGTTAACTTTAAACTAAATTTAGCTAATCTAATTGTCCAGTTCAAATAAAAACAAACCTACAATTGTTTTGCCGAAGAATTTTCGCTTCTTGAAATATGCCATCAGTTGTTTCAATTTAATTCAAAAAACTCTCGCAAGTATATCCGGTATATCCTCTGTGCATTGATTTGGAATGCATTCTACCTCCTGTTGAATTTATGACCAATTTGGGTTACATGTGAATGTGACAAAAAAGTCAGGAAATCCCACATTTCGACATATTGCGATCATATCTTGGTAATGCTGAATCATATTTCGTGGGCTACCTGTAAAAGATGATGGGAGTATAAATCTCCTACCAACAGTTGATGCATGACTGTCACCCGTAGTCACAGCTTCTTCTAAACCTCTGTACAAATCAGTCCGCAACACATTCTGTTTATGCCTGATAAGTTTAGTCTATCTTGCTCAATAGCTGCATAATAATCAACAACAAATTGTTGGAACAAATGTCCCCCTTGCAATAGCGTTTTCCCTTCTCCAACTCGAAATTGAAATCTAAATGCATAAAACTCTCTTATTGACACTCCTTTTCGATTGTTGTTTGTACCCAGAGTAAAACTTATAGACCTTCTCCATTCATCAGTCCCATAGGGAAAAAGTAATGGATATTGAAGTGGCATGTGTGAAGGATGTATTTCATTAATCCTTTGTAAATGTCATTCAATTTTCTAACAATTATGTCACGATTTCTAGTGCTTTTAGACCTATCACTAACAATTAATGCGGCAATTTCAGTTGTAGTGGGTCTAGTCTACTGTCTTCTATCCCTCAAACTTAAAATGCGAATATGCAATTCTTGAGCACCATTCTGACAGATCATGTCTCGAGCAGTGCGAAAAATTGATACATATGGATTGATGACATTCAACATTGACTGTAAACCTTCTAATCTGGACGTATCAATTCCTGATATGCCACCACACCTATTCATAACGTCCATTCTATTGCAAATTTCATGCTCAGTGTCACAAATATAGAGTTGTGCAAATTTAAGCCTTTTCCCAGCTTCTGGTAGTAAAGAACCAATTTTATGAAAATTTGCTTCACTAATACGAAAGACATAAGGACCCCTTCCATCTAACACTGATTGATCGATTTTCCCACCACACGGACGTGAAAGATAATAGAGAGTTATATGTCCTTATGTGTTCCCTGAATCTCATACTAGTAAACTGTTGTTGCAAAAATTCAGGAGCTTCTGGCAATAAAGGCAACATCACTTGTCCACTTTGACAACAGAGACTAAATTTTGGTCGACTCAATGGACTATCACTTACTCTTTTCTTTTTCTACATCATTGCTTGACATCTAGAGCATGTTATTGTTCTCCCACCAAAGTTTGAGCGGTCTGAAATTTTTCTTCTTCTAAAACGTGTGGTAAATGTACTACTTGAAATTATTTAGATTTAGATTATAATTATGAATTTCTAATGTCTGTAAGAAATTTGTATAGAATACACAGTTGGCTAAATGTTTATTACCAGGTGGATGTGCTCTATTTGAAGTTGGTGGTGCAATATTAGGAGCTCACACTTCTGAATCATTTGTGTCTAATTCATTAGATACAAGAATCTGAATTCCAACGTGATTAACATCAGGAGCATTGTCATTATTGCGACTGCATGTTTGTCTGAAAGCACCATGTTGCATTCTTTTGAGTCACAAGACTGTGATCCTCAAATGTTGATTCTCCTTTTCTATTTTCCGAAGGAGATCGTTTAATGTAGGATCATTGCGATCATATCGTGTTAAAAGTAATCTTCTTCTTGCCACCAGTCGTGCCAACTTGGAGGAAAGATATTTTCGATATTGATTTTCATATTCTTTATCAACACCTAATATATAATATAAAATCATATTATTATCTTTGTGATTCTTAAAAGATTATCGAAAATGTGAAGGTCTCACTAATAAGATTGTAAGAAAGTTTCAAATGTAACATTATTGTGTAGAAGTCAATAGATTACCACTATGACGGGCACTACTTCGTAATCTTTCAAACGTCAAATGATAGTTATCAAATGTCGAGTCTCCTTTTCTATATTGAGAAGACGATTCTTGAATGTTGGATCAT